GTAGGTTTCGTCATTGCTAATTCCTGTAGCAGTTTCCTTGTTAGTGGTTTTTGACGAGTGTGAGAAATCGCTCTTTAGTGATTCGGCATCGTTCCTGATCAAATACTGAGAAATATCTAATAGTATTACTTTCAATTTTTTGTTTAATTTTTCATTGTGTGCCTTAGATCTTAAAAAATAACGTTTCTAGACCGAACTTCTCCGTTGTTTTGTCTTTGTTCCTCTCTTTTTGTTGTCTGTTCCCGTTTTCAAAAATAAAATTTTTCGTGACGAATAAAGATTTCAAATTCAATTGTGTAGAGATTGCCAAATATTCTTTTGATATATTAAGACGTTGAATAAAAAAAGATGTAAAAAAAGACAGAAAAAGACACGAACGGCTTGTGTTTGAATATCATTCCTATCCTGACTGAAAACATAAGCGAGTTTAAACTCGAGTTAAAACTTTTCTTTTTACAGATTTAAGATTATTTTTTACATACCTCTCCTTCTTAACCCTAGACTTACAGGTCTAGTCATTTCATACTCAGTTGTAGCATCCATGATTTCAATATATCTGCAACAATTGTATACATCTTAAGGGTCCTCCACACATATACAGCTTATGTTATCAAATTACTAAATGCTACAACGAACAAGCATATCAACCTTTATAAAGTGGCCAGGAATTAATGTATATTATTATACTTTCATGTTAAATACTAAAATCTGATTGGTTTAGACGCAGTTAACAATCCGTTCTATTACCCTCAGCCTTAGCAACACACGTGACAATGGGTAACACAACAATAATGCCACTTGCGTGGAAATTATGCGTGTATTCACCGTAGAATTCTAAAAGCGTCAGTTGGGCGTTTGAAAGAATCAGAATAATTCTAACGTCAAAAAAATTTGCGTCCGATGTAGATTACTTGAAAACAACAAACGACAGACGTAAATATGCTTGCAAGTACAGAAATAACGAAACTTTAGATGATAAAGGACTATTAGGGTATCAAACAAACAATAAAGAGGTAAGTAACTCTATTTCGAAGTAGCGGGGAGTTTGAAAGCTTTCTGAACGTGAATGTAAATATAATCGACGATTTCTTTTTTTGCTGACATACTATATCAACAAGACATTAAGTATAATAAAATAATTGGTGCCTGTTTAGGAGGGTAACAGTTGAAAGTGGCGCATCGGTTGACAATGGTTTTACTTGGGGTGTCAATTTCAACTGTTACCCTCTAAAGCAGGCACCATTTATATAATTTATACTGATAAATATTTTTTCCACAAGTTTCAAGTATATCAACTTTCAACACAGACTCGGCTGATTAGCCTGAAAGTATTAAGAGCCATTCTCTGTAATGATTTGAAATTTTATATAGGAGCTGTGGCACGCATAATCTCAGAATTTCTCCAAACTCTCTATGATAAAAGTCATTGATACCCTTAACTGAAATCAGGCAAAAATTGGTTGCTATGTTTTATAGTTACCATGGCAACATGTCTTAAAGTTCGAAAAATGGCATTTTTTAACATGTTTAGAGCCCCAAAGTTAACATTTGCGGCAAAGCAAACAATTGGCAATGACTGTTTCCAAAAGTTGAAGGTCAGATGTCTCAAATGCATGATAAACATTTTTGGTAAATAAACTATTACATACGTTACTATGGTAACAAAGTATTCAAAAGTAAAAAAATATTCATTGAATTTTATAAAGTCATACACGTAAAAATAAAAAGCAATTATAGAATGAAATGTGACCAAATAATAGAAAAAAGAGCCTTGAAACATATACCAAGAACAAAATATGACATTTCATTTTGGTTGGCAATGGTTGCCAAGGTTTTTATACCAAAGAGAGCCTTCAAAGTAACACTTTGTATGTTTAAATCTGATCCTATCTTTTAAAAAAGAACATTTCCTCAAAACTAATGATCAAATTTTAAAGATGTTGGTGTGCTCCTAGTTTTCTCACTTGAAAAAATTCAGATAAGATTCTTTAAATAGAGCGTTGCTATGGAAATAAGCAGAAAATATATGCTTAAAAACCTGAAAAATATTTTCTTTCCTTGGATACGTACCCTTAAATGTAGATTCCCAAAACTTTTATGATTGATATTTATTAACAGCTAACCTGACTTTTAATTTTGACTATCATCCAATCTCTAAGTGGATGCAAGAAGTTGGCACACGGGGTTTAATATTGATATAAAGTTCACAAAATCGAACATTTTCCCTTCTTGGTAACCATAGCAACAGTGTTGTTTTCATCATCAAATTTTATCAATATATGATATTCAACTTTAGTGCTAACAGATAAGTACTATTCAAGCTGAGTCCCTTAATTTGTTTCTTGATTAAATGGCAATTTAGTTCTTAATGCAGCGAAAAATGATTCACTTTTAAGCAGTTGTACTTTGTTTCCATGGTAACACTGCAAAGTAGCAATTATGCCCAATTTTTCTTATGGTTTTGGTGTTGCAAGGTCCTAAGGATGCATATTTGCCAGTCTTGAATTTTCATGTTTTTCCTCAAGACAGTAGCATTAACCCAATCTTAGTTCTTGGTTTTGCATGGTTACACTGTGTTACCATGGCAACCATAAAAGTTATTTATAGAATAATATTGCTTATACATATATACTCAAGGTCAGACATTTTCATTGTTTTTCTTAAGTCCTTGATTGAGTTTGAGCATGAAACACCTACCATTAGTGAATACGGAGTGTTTTTCAGCATATTTCAGCATTTTAAATGTATTCCAAATGGGCCCTTGGTTACCACTTACTTCGAGATATATTCTAAACAGTTTCTTTACAGAAAAGGTGACATGAAGGTGTCATGTTTTTGTGAGAATGGTTTGTTTGCTTTTTCTAGTTTTTATTAAGCCACAGTCAAGATTTAAAGTGGCTGAAAATCTCGATTTTTCAAACTTTTCCGGCTGTTGCCATAGCAACCGAGACACATAGCAACAAAATTTTGTTTGATATTTGTTTCTGGTGTCAAGTACTAAGCATGGGTGAAGTTTCATCAAAATCGGTGACCATGCGTGGCAACGAAGTTTAAGTGGTTACAGAGAATGACTATTAATAACCTACAAGTTTCTCGTCATATCGGCACCTGTTGTTAACGAATTATTATGTAACAAAACTTTTTTTTTTTAAATTTCATTTGTCTCCCTTAAAGTTCTATTCATCACTTACTAAGATATATTATTTATTAATTCAAATAGAATTGGAATTCGTCTTATAAAAACAAATAATGAAAGAGAATGGAAATGTTCTAATTCTTTAAGATTAAATATATTGCTTTTTTTCCTGATACCAAGATATTGAGGGCAATAAACACATACGAATTAATTTTCGCATTGATATACATTGAATAAAATATCTCACCAATTTGCATATACTAGTATTTAATATTACACAGTAAGTGTGAAGATGATTTTCTGTTTTTAAATAACAAAAACTTTTTTTTCAAATTTAAAATTATCTTGTTCTTAGTACATAACTTTTAGTTTATATAATCAAAGGTGCAAATCATATAGTTACACAATAACGTTTCAGGGACAGACTGTCAATTGCCCGTCCGATTTCGAGTGTAATGTACTTACTTCAATCCTAATAAAAGCAAGGGCGTTGGAGTCGTCAGTTAAAATATGAATTAATTTCAGTTGATTAATTTTATTTCGCAATTGTTTTTTCAAATGACTAAAACTATTCGAAGAATTAAAAGCGAAAGAAGAGTTCTGAAAATAGAATACAAATTTAAATATCTTCCTGGTGCATTGTTCGCAAGATTTAAATGTCCTAATAAGTGGACGTTTTATTTTTCTCTTATCTACCAATTGAAGACAACATGACTCTTCGTAAAGAAATACATTCCCGTTACCCATAAAACGCAAGCACCAAATGTGGTTGGAATATAACCAGTTACTCTTGCAAAGAAAATAATTGTGATAACCCCCACCCCCATAAAAATTATTTTAATGTAGAAGATTTTTTTCATGTTGAATAATTTCTGTAGCATGAAAATACTAAAGATGGCATACAAATGCAACATTTTATTTTTTTCTCTTACTGCAGCCCGGGCTATTCTGTACATATAAGTTTAAGTGTTGGTGTATGGGGATAAAGGTGGGAGGAGTTATTCAGAATTACGGGTTTTCGAAACATTAATAAGATTAATTAAAATCTCCTTTCCCTTTATAAATTACGAGATACACAATATATTAACTTTTAATAAAATGAATTTGTTAAAATATATATGTTTTTTTTCATATTAAATATATAAAGATGCTTATCACATGCTGTCGAAAAATCGATAGGTCCCTTTTTTCAAACTTCGAATTTTACATATCGCATTAAAACGTACATTACACAATTCTACATGTATATTCTTAAAGTCAAATACATTTTTGAAAATAGGTTATGCATGTATCTATTTTCAATTTATATTCTATACATCCAACATTTATTTGAGGAATGGGAAAGTTTAAAAAGATATCGTTTTTATTCGTTTTTTATCCCAATACAAATTTTCAAAAATATTCTCAACTATTGTCTCCATCATTAAGACGCAATCCTTTTTCACACATATCTAAACGGTTTTATGATCAAGACTAATTTCCATTGTTTACTTCATTTATTTACCGGGCGAAAATTGATGGTTACATCAATGTTTGCTTGTTTCTTGTTAATTCAAACCTTTGTTTTTACGGTAAAATTACATAAAATCTCACGTACTAAAACAAAGATGAAGGATATACCGGTCTTATGAAACAAGTGAACCTAAAGATTAATTTACAATATAGGAATTATATCCAGATTTCACTGCTTCGACTAAGACAGAGTCTTGGCTATTACTTACATCCCGACCATTTTAAGCACACCCATGTGAAATTATTACATGTTTAGGAAGAGGGCTAAAATAGGCTTTGCCTGCTGCCCGATCCCATTCACCTAATGTGAAAAAAATTTTGTTTAAATAAAAAAATATAACATGATTACCTTTTACATTGTTTATTTGCATGTAAGCTTGCTAAGGTTTCAGTTTCAGTTACATGTACAATGATCTTCCATTTTAGTAAGGTTAACATCTAGAACTAATTAATGACATCTTAAACAAAAATCCCTGTTACATAATAATTAATCATTCTCTTCTTTATTTTTCAAATTGTGATTGTTGATTAATCCCTTTAACATAAAAGATTATAAATATATAATTTATTTCCGTGTAATTATAAATATATATATGTCTCATTAGTAATACGGAAATAAGACTAAAAAGGCTTATATGAGACTAAAACTTCTTCTATGAATGACACCAATTTTTTCCACACATTCTGAAGGAACATGTAACGTCGGCACAATAATCACCTCCTCAAATTTTTCTGAATATTCCCATGCGTCTGAAGAACGTGAAATATGACGCGCACGAATATCCTCTCTCGTAAGGTCTATGACCTCCGCTCTGTTACTACATGTAAGCTTGGTGATATTGATCTTAACTACATCTCTTCTTCGATGTTTCTCGTTTGTCAGACTTCCTAGCCTTCGTATACCAGTAAGAGTTTTACAGCAAGAAATAAACCTCGATTTCTGGCCTTTACTTCCCCGCTCCACGTGTTGCTGAAGACTTATTCTTGAGGAGATTTTCTTTGGTCTCAGCCCATTATGATAGGTTTCATCAAATCGAAGGATTCTATACACATATTCATCAGACGTCTGTTCTACAGCTACTTTATCCTCATCAACATCCGATATCTCAGAATCGTCGCTATCGTTTTCACTTGAAACATCCGGGTTAATTCCAAAATCATCCTGTTTATTTTCCTTCTCTTCACCTACAACAGTTGAAACTCTTGTCTTATCAACTCTTTCTTCTAAGCTGTTTTCCTCTGCAGCATTTATTACCTCGAGTTTTCGATCCTCTACTTTAAATGATGCCTGTCCCTCGCGACTGGTAGCTGCTTTATGAGTTTTTTCGATCTGTTCCTTGTTCTCTGTAATTTGTTTAGAGCCTTCATCTTTGTTAGATTCAGTTTTGCTTTCTATAGGAATTCGCGAATATAGGATACATCTCTCCTGTGATTCCTCATCATATCTGCTCAGATCATTCTCTGCCAAATTATCATCGTCCTCAGTTGTCTCTGTTGTGAATTCAAATCTGATCGATTCATTTGTGATTCTCCTAAGATTAAGCGCGTATGATTGATTGCTGTTTTGAATTATGTTTTCAGTTCTACTCAAATCTGTTTCTGCAGAACCATTTCTAGCATTCAAACCAAGCTCATTGTTTTCATCGCTGGTCTGGGCAGATGTTCTTGGTATTTTTCTCTTTACTTCCGTTTCTTCATCAATGGAGGCTACTAGTTTATAAAAATTAATATAATAATCAGTAATATGACTGAATCAATAATGAAAAGCTGTGCTATCATTGTGTAGTAATATGACTTGCTTAAGACCGGTATAAAATCCTACTAAACTTAAAATTTATCGAAAAAACGTATTCTTTAATGAAACTATATATCAAAATTACATAAATTTTATAAATGATTGAATAAAAGGTTCAACATACTAGAAAATTCTAGCAAAGAATAATTATGTAAGAATTCGGTTGAAATTTCCTGCAATGTCTTTTTTTGTTTAAAATGATATAAATAAATTGAGTGAATGTTGAATGACCAGTTTGTTGAAAGAATTATTTTTGATATTTAGTGACAAACCCTTTCGTTTGGATCCTAAGTTTATGTTCAGATTATCCTCTCTAGCTTCCATGATGTCAATTGTCTGAAAATAAAACACTATTTTTTTATACTGAAGCCTTTGTGTTTGTTTTGTGCCTTACTTACAAAATTAATTTAAGTAAACTCATGACCTTATCCACCGAACCAGCATTTGGTTTTTACCATACCTTTTGTAAAATGGACTTTAAAATTGTTGTCGGTTAATGTACGTTTATGATGTTAGTGCAGGCTCAGCAGAGATAAACGTTGTTTTTTTCGCCAGCCAAAGTCAACTCCTGTTCAAAATAAGAAATAATAATCTTTTTTTCCAAATAAAGTTATTGGTATCTTTAAAAAGATATAGGAAAAAGTCAAACTTCAAAAATAGTTTTATCCTGTTTATGATTATATTCCTATTTCTCTCTATTTCTCCTTTTTCTTACAAAATTTTATATTATGATTTTCAATAAACTATTTCATTTAATTACTTTAATGACATTTATATTTGCAAACTTATCATTACTTTATTTAAATTGTCTTCGATAATTTGTTTCTTGGAATTATGTTTTTAAATGATAGATATGGAAATACGAGAAAATTATATTACTCCAACGGTTTTAATATTTGCTTCTCTTAAATTTTAATCTACTCTGGCGACCAAACCTACCCCTTCGTGTTATGATTTTAAACAAAATTGCATCTACACTACCTGAAACTGCTTCAATATAAACATTATCACTTTGCCGTTCATAAGATTTGCAGTTTTTAATAGGGAAACATATAGAGATAAAGAACAGTATTTGACATCAAAAGTCCATAAAACAATACAAAACAGGAGCAGAGCAAACACGGACCTCCGAAACATCAGAGTTGGGACCAGGTGCGTGGAGGAGTGAGCATAGGTTTATATATATTTTCTAACACATGTAAATTCTACTTTTCAAACAGTAGCCAGGGGGTACCTGATCACATATCTATTATTTTGAGATCCTTATTTGCTCTGCTCCAATTTTGTATTGATTGATGGACTTTTGAGATTTATGTCCATATATTTCCTTATGTGGCTATAACCTACCCTAGGAACATGGTTTTTTAAACAAAGGAAAAGGTACTGGTACGACCGAATCTGGTCCCTTCTTTGACGTAGAATTTAATACACAGTTAAAATTGAGATACTTTGATGTAAGAACTTAAAATAACCAACAATACTTTTCATTCAAAGCTTACAAAGAGGCCACAATAGGGCGCTGAAATGGGGATTTTTCCCAATATTCCTCAATTCCAATGAAATTTCCTTGAATTTCACCTCGGAAAACATAGAGCACAAGCTTGCCTATCTGAGATTTTTATACAGATGCAACTAATACATGTACTACATGTACGTTATGAAATAAATACTAGATATATCTGGTCGATTGGTGAACTTGTGCTCCATCCTTTTCTGAAACAAAATGTGCCATGAAACCGTCGAAATTAGCATTAAAATTAATAAAATTTGGAAATTGACATATCTTTGGATCTTCCAGTGAATGTTTTCCCAATATCTTTAAATACTCTTTTTATGGCAGGGATAAGAAGTTGTATTCAACTGTTGAGCTGTTGCATTATTTTAAAAGACACCACAAACCGGGGACCGAAATGGGGTCCTAGTCTATCTTGTCCTTTGAGTAACGAACTACATTAGGATATTGCCAAACAAATCAATCTAATCAAGACTTAAGTGTTCTTAAATAGGTTTTAGAGTATTTCTTTATCTCCATATCCTTCTTCCAATGAATTTCCATGTAATATGAAATCGCCAAATAGATGATGAAAACAAAAAAGAGAAAAAAAGTAAATGTAAAAACTATTGCGACAACGGTGCCGATAAAACTCAAAATATTTGATCAGAAAAGAGATTATTAAAGTATTAGGCTCATTACACTTAACCAACTACTCCTAGAGACTTACCTTAAACGAAGTAAGCGTAATAGAACACTTAGACACATATGAGTAGTATAAGCCTCCCCGCTAGGGGAGGATTCTGATTGGCTGAGAGAA